CGGACAATTGATTTATGAAAATGCTTTTGCACTTTCTTATGAGCATAAAAAAACACAATAGGAGTCAACGGCACCCACCTCGTATCGGTCTTCAATGGGGTCACTGTTTGTGGAAACACCACTGAAGCGTTCGTCACCAACTGAACTACCTATCGATGACTGGCTATGACCTTTCAGTTGACGATCACCGTTCTCATCAATCTGTAATCATGTCTTACGTCATTGAATTTCTGCCAAACCCGAGAATGTGTTTAGCTAGAAAAGAGTTCTACAGTTATGAATCAATAAACATAAAATCGGCATTTTTCACATCGCAAATGCGAACGAAACGACGAAAATGTCCCGATTTTATTACTCATTGACTTTTAATAACCACGTTTTAATTACCACCATTCGCCATATGCAATCACATGACGTTGCAGCAGAGCAATTCACCAACGATCACACAAAATATTAAAAGAAACTTTTCGTAGTTCAAGTAAAAAAGGGTTAGCTAAAAGGGTTTGATTCAGGGGTCGTTATAAAACAGAGAATCATCACGAGCAGGTTCCACTCGACATCAACCATCAATAATAAAGATTCGAGAACATGCTGAGAATTCCAACTTACTGGTCTCACGTATATTGCGGGCACTAGCCCTGTGGCATTCAGAGCATTCCTAGCTTGCCACCACCCTTCTTCGGGTTTTCCAATGATTTCTAAAGTCTCGCCAACTTCAAACGGTAGGTCAGTGTCGCGCTCCCCTTCGAAACGGTACAAACCAACCACCTGAAACAGTGTACAAATTAGTTCCATTAATAACAAAGAGCTCAACCCTCATGAACTTGCATGGAATGCGCCGTGCACCATTACACTAGTCTAGGAAGCGGGAACAATCGAATCCGTTCAAAAAAGAAAGAAAAACTAGATGAAATAGCAAACGAAAATAAAACCTAAAAGTTCAAAAAGAGAAATCTCCTACTTGCTCAATCTGTCCTTTACGATATGGAATAGTAAGAGATGTCTTATCAAGTATATGAATCTTGAAGTGATTCAGCAACGTCGGTATATCCATAAAATCGTGATCAGCAATCTGTAGCGAAGAATATTTCAATGCACTCCCCAAAGAGATTCGCAAGAAGCCCGAGACATACCTTGACCTGCTTCACTCCATTTTCCCCTAATTTCTCTTCTATAAGGTAGTGTCGTACCTTGTTCTCTTCGTCCGATTCTCTAGAATCATAAAATCGGATTCAGAGGTTAAATCGCACATTGACGACCAGTCACATACCTCACACTTAACGAATAATCGCCTGGCCTTGAGCTGTCACGTAGAAGAAAGGTACCAATGGCGACACCGGTCTCGGATAGAAGACGTGCCGCTTCATCTCGTCCCATCTTTCCAAAATAGAACGATGCCCAGTCGTATGGGTCGAACGATGTCGACATCCTGAAAAGCGAATCACTACTTTGGGGGCAGAACGGACGAAAAAACGCAATGGCATCACAATGTTGAGCGAACGAACAATGCAATGGACTTTCGACGGTCAGAAGAAAAAATACGGCAAGCGCTCTCCAACTGGCGCAAAGCCCAGAAGAAAAACGAAAAAGAACGAAAGGGCAAGGGTGCATTGTGGGAATAATTGCCAAAGGTCTGGAACGATTCCAATCAGTGCGATATATCACCCGTTTATCCAATTTCATTACTTAGGCCTTAACCTAATTCGGCGGAATAAACTCATCGATTCACCATTAACTGGGACTTTATTAGTCACTGATCTAGGCCAAATTTTCGGGCCACCTGTACCGAAAAGTATGTGAGGGAGGGGCTCGAGTCAATAACTAGTAACAGGAAAGAAAAATCGAAAATGAAGAAACAGATGAACATCGTAATTACCTTCAGGTTGTGATGCCAACACTGGTGAGAAAGAGATAGAGAATACTAAACCGCGAGAGGAAAAACGATACCTTCAAACTGTAAAGACGAAAAAAAGTTGAAACGGCTCACAACCGAGAATCTCGTACATTCTTTCTCAAGAATGCAAAAGGATACAAGACAGACATGACAATTAGGGATGGCTACTTCACATTCTTCTTAACCGGTTTTGCAAAGAGGAAATAAATCGAATTTTTCCTCTCAACCCCCTGTTTCACTTTTTTCCCTCTCTTTCAGTTACGTGAAATATACCTTATAAAATTATGTTAATAAAAGAAATAAATTTGCGTCAGAGGGAACCAAACCAAATTCAGTACTGTAGGAGATACTAACAACAGCCTAAAAAGGTTTAAAGCAAATGATATATGGGATGCAGTTTTCGTGAGCATATAATAATCACCATTGTGCATCACAGTGAGGTTGAAAATATGGAGTAGAGTGTTAGCTCGAACATTTATAGCAAAGGAGAACGCAAAAATTCACGCAATCATCTTCAAAATCAATAAGATAGAGGTCCAAGTTAAAAAAATCAATAAAAACACTTGTTTGTTGTTCACAGTTTCTATGATTTTAGCATAACTTTCTATCAATTACTACTTAGAGAATTAAATAGGCGAGAGAATCGAGAAACCTCTTCAATAAACAAGGACGGTCTGTTTTCGAAGAAAAAATAACTGAAAATTAGTTTTAGCATAGCAGCAGTTATCTAAATAATGAAAAATATGGAAAATAGTAATCCTGACTCGTCATTTTATGCAAGAGCTACTTCTAAATATCCCAGAGAAAACCAGAAAGAAAGCGTCGGACAAAGCACTGAAACTACTATGGGGAGGCTATGTGCAATCCTTTATGGTAATTAAGAGGTTTTTAGGAGATACTTTACAAAAACTAAGCGAAACTCACT